TACTTACTCACATTGAAATAGAGAGAGAATATGGGTTAGTAGCACCTTTAAAATTTCATATATAAGCACATTAATAACGATTTAGAACAATACGATAAGGCTACTTAGAATTTCATAATTCATAACAAGCAGAATGCATAAGTATAAGCAAGTTACAAGACATGTAGCTACATTAGTAATCATGCGTCGAAAAGCAGGTACAGGCAATATTAAATATGTACTGGTATGACACCTCATGCTTTATACTTTGACACGAACCTTAAAAAAATGGAAAAGAGCGGCAGAATAATCATACGGATCTGTGATACGGATGTGGTTGTTTTGTGTGTTCACTACTACAAACAGATGACACATACAAGTGAGTTGTGGGTGCAGATGAGTAACATATGGCATTAGCAGTGTGAAGGACTAGCAAATATTTTCACCTATTCACCAAGTATGTGCCTACCTTTCCCCAACTATTTGTAAACTACTGCTTGCTGTACATGCTCTTACTAGATGCGACATAACTTCTTCTCTGTTTGGGGTAGGTGATAAATCTACGATGATAACAGTGGTTTACAGAGCTTCGAAAGTCCGGACAATGATGAAGTCCTTGTATGTGCAAGAAAGATAGTTGCGAAGCTTTGTGATCAGAAAAAAACTACTTAAATCATTCCATCATGGTATGAATAAAATGCTCGTTACGTATGAAGTAAAATAACAAAAATACCGAACTCCAAGGAAAATTCAAATTGGAAAGTCCCTTATCAAATGTCAAATCAAAAGCTCATACACATCAAACGAATGGAAAACAACTGTCATATTCCTGACTTATTGTTGTTGACGAATGTTGCATGAATTTCAGTACAGGCATTTCCTGATGTCGAAAACGGTGGATTAAACCTGGTATGCCACCAGTTACAATAACAAAATAGCAAAGGTAAGCTCAACTGTTGTGTAAAACTGGGAGGTAAAATTGTAAAACCGTCGCAGTAAAATAAGACCCATGCAATTTATAATTGATATTAACTTCAAAGAACATTTATATCATGTATTATGACGTTGCCTTTTGGACACTCTCGCCATGATCAAAACGTGTACCTAAGATAAGGTTCCATTTTGCATTCAGTTTTACGTCCATGTCGTACGGTAACCGATAATTGCTAACATCTACATCATTTGATCTCTGGCGGATAGTTGGTCTAAAAGTCAATCATACCGCATCTCCTTATTTTGTATTACACATGTATATCCAAATCTGAAATTTAGTATAGTAGACTTAGAGGCCATATTACGGCCGTATTGAATCTACTCCTTCAATTAGAAATAGTAACAATACGTAGTCTTATACATAGATAGTATATATATTTATCAATATAATGTATAAATACATTCTTTATTAAAGGGTTGTGAACAAATACATGCAATATGAAAAAAAAACATAAAAACGTCTTAACTACTCCAGTCATTTCCTAGTTCCAGTCTTACATTGTTCAGAAATCTAAAAGAAATTAATTTTTTTTTATTAAATATCTTAGTTCAGTGATTTCTGCTCAAACTCAAAATGTTTCATTTGTTCTGTTGGTAAGATAATATCATTTTCATCAATCATTATCAAAAAAAGTTGTTTTTCTTTTCTTTCGATTGCATACAATTCTATTTCTTTTGTTTAAAATTGGATTTTATTTACTAAATCAACGGACTTAGCTATCTATTAAACTAGGTTAAACACACCATTTTCTTCGGAAAATTCCTGTAACAGGTCAGGAATATGACATTTGTTTTTTATCTTTCTGTTTGGTTATATAGTCTATGGTTTTATGGACTTCTTGAATTTGAATTCATCGTGGAGTTCGGTAATGTTTTTTTTATACTTTATGGATTTATATATTAAGGAATTAGAGGTAACAGTAGTCTATCGATAATCAGATCTAAAAACTCCATTTATAAAATACAAATCAAAGCAAAACCTATAACTGAGAGAATTGCATGACTCCAAAGGGAACGAGAAGGGGAAAAAGTTGTAAGGAATCTAAATCACATTCTTAATCTGTTCAGCCCTATATCTTTATTTGCATAAGTTGCTATAATTACTCTGATAACCATTACTGGACATTCGTCTCTTTATTGCTTATTCACGTGACATGAATGTACAGGTATATTGCAATTAATAAATAATTGTAAATATGAGCACTCATTTTGAAGACTATGATATATATATATATTATATTTATAACATATTAGATGTCTAGAAAAAAAATGAAGCATGAGACCCAGGGACACAATCGAAAATAACACTTTTGACACACATACTAAGTGTTCTTAAGAGACAGTAAACTCGTAGTAACAAAAATGCATTACTGTACATTGTATGGATTGTTTAATGAATCTGGTCATATTAAAGAGGCGAGGCGGAAGAATAAAGAGATATTAAAACTCATTAGTCATCAACAAATTAACAATGTAATCGCAAAAACAGAAAAATAATCAAAATACAAATAACAGTTAACAAAACACGATATAGAAAACTAAAAACTGAGAACACGAGCCGCACCGAAAACCGGGGACGATCTCAGCTGCTCAGGCAGAATAAGCAGAGATCTTGCTCCACATGCTGCACTCGTCGTGCTGCTCATGTAAGTACAAACCCGATGATGTACGTCACATTCTGGGTTGTGCTTAACAAAATGGCAATTCAAATTTATTCTGACCGCAAAAACCTGATTAAACATTCCGTTTAATATGCTGATTTATGTCAAACAAGGGCTGTTGGTGGTACGTTCAACTAAAAACACATGTAGTGTGCTTCCTTATCAAGACATACACATCTGATAACGATGCATCCCTTTATTCATCTGTCATGGTACATTGACTTTAAACACAAATTCATAGTTTATTCAAGGCAAACGGAGAGTACTGTAACGTTCATATTAGTTATAATTTTAAAATTATTAATAGATGAGGTAAGGATGGGTTTAGAGAATAATATTAAAAAAAGAACAAATACAGAAAAACGATCCAAAAAAATGGAATAAATTATAATGGGTTGAAAAAATATATACAGATTAACTCTGGTAAATAAAAAATTAAGTAGTACAATATACTGATCACATAATATGAACGATGTTTAGAATAAAGAAATCATCTAATTGCTGAACAATGTAATAGTTTGAAGTCGTTTTCATTAAATTCATTAAAATTGTACAGAATAAGCGTTACTTTTGATGATACAGAAAAAATGCTCTACAAATTGAAAAGAATACAGAAATTAAGGATGACCTCCCATCAATACCCTCATACATACATAACATCTGCCAAACAGATTTGTAAAAGTTCCTACATCATGATGTATCGTGTGTTTTTTTAAAGGAGTCAGTTCTGAATTTTAAATATAGACATGTGGGAGATCAGTTGAAGTTGTATGCATAATAATACAGTCAAATGTACAGTATATGAACAATACCAATGACAATTATTCATTTGTAGACATTAAAACTTTTTCCTATTGTAAATTCAGTCAGTAGTTAAGCAATGTGTGTATGACTTATGATCACATGTTAACTCTTAGATTAGTTTGAATGGCAGTAAATCTAGTTTGAAACAATGTAAATTGTTCTTGTCAATGTCTCATGCATCTGATGCAGTTCAGTTTTTGACAGAAGTAAATGAAGGAAAATATGGTTTGCTTGATTCTTTTTTATTTAACGTCTATATATGCTAGAGGCAAATATGATATGCATAGTAAAGATTAAAACAAATTTATTAATCCTAAAGGTAGCTTAGAATTCTGCAAAAATGGTCAAACGTGATGGAAAAAGTTAGAATGCCAATAAAAAGAGAAGGAATGTTGTAAAAACCAGAAATTTTGCAAGGGTTCTTTAACATGAAGAAACATGGCACCCTTTATACACGAAGCCGAAGCAATGGATCTAATTAGCCAATTCCGAACAAACGTGACTGTGTGTTCATCCATACCCCACGCAAGTTTAATCAGAAGCTGGCCCCTCTTTGTTGTGTTTTATATAATGTTGTTTGTCTTTTGGTCCTTTTCTATTTTTAACCATGGCGTTGTCAGTTTATGTTAGAGTTGAATGTCCCTTTGGATCTTTTGCCTCGTCTTTAATGTTCTCTTTACGGTCGTATTGGTGACATCTCGGTGTGTATATTTCTATCATCAAGTGAAGGCAAAGTATTCTTAATTGTTAATCTAAATTTGTGTCTCTGGTTTTGTCTTTGTTCTTTCAATATTTACTAACGCCCTGATTACCATCATTCTTTACCATATTTGCAGGAATAGGTTTAATGTAATAGCAGCAAGGTAAACATAAAACTTCCTAATAAGAATATATCATCAAGAAACCAACAAAATGTAATTAGTATTAACCATTGTTAAATACTACACATAAGAGGTAGGCGAAAGATACCAGAGGTACAATTAAACTCATAAGTCGAAAACAAACTGCCAACGCTATGACTCAAAAGAAAAAGGACCAACAAAAAAAAAACAATACACAAAACACAACAAAGAAAACCAAACACTTAGCAACATGAACCCCGCTTAAAACTGGGGGTGATCTCAAGTGCTCCGGAAAGGTAAACAGATCCTGTTCCACATGTGGCACCCGTCTTGTTGCTCATGTTACTTCAAGCACAAACAATATTAAGAATGTGCTTGTTAATAAGGTAAAAAGTGAAATAACAAAAATACCGAACTCCAATAAAAATTCAAAACGTAAAGTCCCTTAACAAATGGCCAAATACAATCTCAAACATATGAAACGAACGGAAAATAACTGTCGTATACCTGACTTGGTACAAGCATTTCCTTATGTAGAAAATGCATAGTTCTATAGAGTAGTGATACAGTGAATACAAAACTTTGACCACTCGGCCACCTAAAATATAGATCCAAGTTTCCTACCGATTTTATGGTAAAAGACAAATTTCATTTGTTTATTCAAAGATGTCATTAGATCAAGTATAACAAATTGAATACTATTTTTTTCAACAGTCACTCTATGCATCATTTCCAACAGAACATTTTACAAAAGCCATGATCATAATTTTTTCATACAAATTCTTAATGCAGACGTATTACAATAAGAATCGTCAAGTCTACTGTCAGATGTTCCACAATAACCTGCAGCTGTATCTTCAAAATATAAACACACATTTGACTGATACGTCAGATCGGGATTCCCACTACAAAATCTATTACTGCTTATTACATCCCCGTTTGACCAATAACCTTGGTTTCCGCTCAACGTTCCATCAACAGCAACTCGATCATCTGGATGAAAACACAAAATGAACTCGGCCTGTTATTATGTTTAACTTCAAATTTTATAAATGAGTTATAGTTATATTTTCCGGATCATTTTACGTGCAAATAACTTGTTATAGTCAATGTCACTTTCAACTTTTATTAAGTTTAATAACAAATTCACTGTATCTTGTTTGTCGATAAAGTTTTCCTACCAGATGAGAACTTTTAAATTAATAACAATAGACCTAAATCACTGGCGAAATTTTATTCTTTTTTCTTGTTTACCTAAAATAAATTCCGTGATTTTAATATGATCCATAATATGTATGTACACATTGTTTTTTCACCAAAACTTGTCGCTTGTTCTCGTTTGAATTGTTTTACACTTGTCTTGTTGGAGCCTTTTATATGCTGACTATGTAGTGTGGGTTTTGTTCATTGTTGAAGGCCGTATGGTGACCGATAGTTGTTAACTTCTATATCGTTTTGGTCTCTGGTGGAGAGTTGTCTCATTGGCAATTATAAAACATCTTCTTATTTGTATATGAAGATTAGGAAATATATGACATCTTTAACGTTTGATTTTCATTCTATAATATTCAGGGGATAGAAGGTCAGAGTAAGCAAAAATGACGTCTTGATTGTAGTCAACCAGATTTTCCTTTAACTTTTCATAATCACAATCAAACTCAACCTTACTGCAAGACAAATTAACTGAAGATTCGTGAGTTGCTTAAGTTTAGGAATATTAACGGGTATGAACAATGTGTGAAAAATTGAACATTATATTTCTGATTGTTCGACAAGACTTGGCTAAGACTTGTATTGTATCAAAGTCTTTATTAATTTTGCATCGGTTAATATCATTGTTAGGGAAAATTAGAATATAAATGCAACCTATTAACGTTAATTTTGTTTTGTATTTTGTTTTGTAAAGAAGAGGATTCTCAGACGGGTATTTGTTTTTGAAGGGAAAACAATGGTAAATAAGCTTCTGTCTGTCCGGTTTTTAAATCTTAATTATTTCTGTGTCCTTTTTTTCAGGTCTGCGATGATAGTGAATACTTTGGACTTACTTGTTTTTTGATCCATGTAGATCCTGAAGTCATTGAATAACGTGTCTGAATTTAAAAGAGGCAAATCTGCACCATCAGCCTGACATGCCGATTTAAGATTAGTCCAGCTTCTGTAATCGCCGTCATAGAATTTAACACACGTATTACTACTTGAAAGCCAGTCATAACCAAATGGACACGCTAAAATGAATAAACAAAAGCCAATTAACGAGAGCTGTAATATACTTAAGTTTAAAGCTTTAAAAGGTAAGTTCTTGCTCAGTTGTCTCAACTGCTGCTACTTTATTTTTTTTTTTGGGGAAGGAGGAAGGGCTAAAGAGATTTTTGTAAATAAATTGTTTGATTCATGAAAAATAAATCTCAGACGTTAAGTAAAAAATAGTTCTTTTCTTTTTGAAAACTAGCAAAAATTCATTTGATTGCCAAAAAAGTGTTTGTTCCTCTTCTTTCATGTCATTTTCGATTATTTTTTGGTTGATTGTTTGTAATTCTAAAGATAAAAATATATTTTGTCTCAAGATGAACCCCAGCACGACCACAACCCTCCTCCAGATGAATCATTGATGTCATAGAACATAGATAATATATATTTTCAAGGAGGAACATTCTTTGTAGGGATAATTTAGTTATCATTGATTTGTTCATTTATTTTTGTTCGTGAATGTCTTTATTCAGGGGTATATTTATTTGTTCATCCTTTAAATATTTATGTGAAATCTTAAATGACATACGTTTTGAAAACTGCAATATTGAAAATGAAAACAAAAAAGTATGACATTGATTTCCTCATCGAACTACCTGATGTCAATCAATTTTTAACGCGATTTTGACGTTGTATTTTCCTACAGATTTAATTTATTCTTGATTTATTAATTTAGCAAAAGTGATTTAGACTCAATCTAATTGTAAAGAGAAGCCTTATCACACCGGAGAGTAGAACATAATATTCCGTCAATTGCCTTTATACATTGTATTCACAATTCTTATAGATTTATAACAATATATGTATCAACGTAAAAATGTATCAGGGAAGATATTATAATAATGCTTACAATTTTGGCAATTACTGCCAGAATATCCACCAGGGCAAGAACAGGTTCCACCAGAACAAGTGCCAACTCCGCAGTTCACATTGTAACAAGGATCATCTGCAATAAAAAAAAAGAAAGAAAAAGCTCAACTATTACATATAATAGCCAGAAAAGATAAAAATGCCATAATGTCACAGTGTTTCTTTCATCAATGGAAACAGTACACACACCAAATCAAATCAAATTATGGTAGATTAATTGTAAACCATCACTTTGGATTGTACAAAAGCAGAAAACTATCGGTCTAGTTCTTTGCTCAAATCTGCAAATGTTCAGACAGATTGGCAATAATTGTGTAAGACTGTTCGTTGCAATAAAGAAAAATATTTATTGCAATATTTAGACTGTTTTAACAATTATTAATTATGTGTGTTTGTTCGATTGAAATTTTGGTCCTAGCCATAAATATATAATGGGAGATCACTCTGATCAATCTTTTACGCTGGAATGAAAGTGAATTTTCATTTTTTTACTTGTAGTTCGGTGACACCATTTTTTCTATTTATTTTCTTAAAGCATATTATAAAACTTATCTTCTCATATTTTATTTCAATATTCTATCTCATAGATTTCTTTTTATTCAAAAAAAAGGTTGTTTCTTTTTCACGAGTAATCTATGCAAGTTTGGCACGTTTGAACGAATTGTAGTCTGAAAAATAGTTAGATGACCCATACTTTGTATCTTATGTTCTAAAAAAGCATGGCAAAATCTCCGGTTTGACAAATTGTAAGAACATTTTATCTGAGGAAATATAAAGTGTTGATTCATCTTAAACATGTTAAATAGGTTTTAATTTAAGTCGGCAAGTTGAATAACAACACAACATATGCCCTTCAGAGAGCTTCTGAAACAACATATATAATACATCAATTGCATAAGATCTATTTCAATGTGAATTCAACATATACCGTGAAGGCAAAATGTACATTGCATGTAGGACATTGATGGTAAATCTTATAAACGACTTTTTTCTTTTCGAGAGTGTACAAAACTAAGTTTTTTGAAGAAAAAACGTTAGCTTTGTCCTATGTAAGAAGAAATGGGTGCCCGTGTCAGTCAAATGATCAAAAACGCAACCAGAGAAAGATTATTTGCAATTGTTTAACATGTGTAAACACCTATTTTCACAAAATAACATTAAATCATGTTTCAGCTAACAAATACATAAGCTTCAACTTTCGCCCCAATTTTCAACTGAAATAATTTAACTGTATAAGCGTTGGTTTTGGTCGTCTGTATTATTGTTGTTGTTTTTTATTGTTTTGGTATATAGTCATTTTTCATATATATATATATATATATATTGTTATTTTGCATAGTTCAATAACATAAAATACCAAATTTGACCATGTTAATTATAAGATTCATAACAAATTAGACTTTGATAGTCGCTGGAATTGGTAGCTTGCTTGAGTCTGGTTTAGATATAGCCTAATCGATATCACACCGGTCATACCAATCTGAAATCCGTCGAAGGTTTCGAATTCTGAAGAGCAATTACACAAGACCATAACACGGTGGGCAAGAAAAATCTGGATCCGATTTACACGGAGCATTATCCTCTGTGGGAATTGGATCCAGATTGTACTTACGATTTGCTCTAAACAAAGTGTAATTGTTACTCGGGCTTCGGATTTCTCAGCGGAATTTTGAGCCGGATACCTGGTGTGTTTTTATCAGCATGATTTTTAAATTTTTATATAATAAAACCAGGCAGTTAGCCTGATAATTATTCTCATCTTAATTAGCTAATGCGAGTTGATACCGCGGATTGTTCATTTCTCACGATTTGTTAAACCATTTCTCTTATGTTAAACACATAAAAAAGTATCTCTTTCCTTATGAATAGCAATGAGAATAGTGTGAAAGGAACCAAGACAAGAGCAAACGTTAGACGATTTCAAGTCAAGCTTTTTATAGGCTTTAGAATGGAATCAAATTTGACAAAATGAATATGTTCAGGTGAAAAATTTTATTTGTCTTATATATTATTGAAATATCACAAATCGTCGTTTTCATTGATGAAATCTGATCTTTGAAAATCATTAAATAGATAAGTCACAATTGCGTAATACATTGCAGGATAGGTCGAACAATTAACGCATTTTTCGTATCTGTTATTTATATCACTCTTCGTTCTTTGTGTTAAGAGAAATATTTTTTTTTCCTGCGGAAAAACAATGTAAGTGCATGATAATCTCTTATTGGTAAACAAATACTAAAAATACATGTTGAGTTCTACAGGTTGAGTATAACTTCTTTTTCGATTGTGATATTAATTAACTAAATGTGTCCAGAGACAATTTTGATTCATTTCTAGATCTTGGTCCGATGAATAAATAATTACACGTTCTTATCACCACCCCTGGACTTGTTTGTAGTATTGGAATCTCTTATACTAATTTGTCGGACCCCTTTCAGACAAGTTCATAATATAGATATATTTATATAATTTCTTCCTGTATAGTTTTATGTATATGGTCAAAGGTTGATTTCTTGTCTTGTTGTTTTTTTTTTTGTTTTTTTTTTTTGCTTAACCCTTATTGATGTAGTTTTTTGAAAAATAAAAGAATTTATTACTGTTTTGTAAGTTATTGTTGTGCTTGTAAGTTGTTTTCGTTACATTTAGATTATGTTTGTGTCAAAAAGTAAATCGCTTTTTCGGTATCATATGGTATTACACTTTACATTGATCTATTCACAACTTTTGACTAAAGACGTTATCGAGCTTAACACGTTCCAAAGCTAACTGTCTTTTGTTGCAGACGACTGGTAGACATACAGATGTCTTCGTGTTTGTGTAATTGAGTTAATGTGTCATTGGCGTTTACCCTACGTCCCGTTTATACGTTTTGCGTTTCAGGCATTTAACTTATTTCTAGATCTTACTTTGCTGAACAGTTTTGTCATTTACACTTTCTCTCTTTCTATAATAATATTAAAGATAATACATAACCCAAAACTGTAAAATTTCCGAAAAATTAACTATTTCTGGACAGTAATCAAACAATAAGTTGTCCTTTTGGTCTGAAGATTACTTGACAGGTAGATCTAAACCTGTTTAACACTTTCACCTATGTCAGTTTTGGTCTTACTGCTTTAGTTTTTGAGATGAAAGCCAAAAACTTAATTTTACCCCTATGTTCTATTTTTAGAAACTGCCGCCATTTATTTTTTTGAATGGATCAAATCCCTGAATACAATCTATAAACTAGTTACCCTAAGGAACATTCAATTCAAATTTTTAAGTATTTGGCCAAGTAGTTTAAGAGGCGAAGATTTTTTAAAAAGTAATTAGCCTTTCACAAAAAAATGTAAAAAAAAAAAAACGTTTTAAGGGCAATAACTCCTTAAGAGGTCAATTGACTATTTTGATCATGTTGAATTAGTTGTAGATCTTACTTAGCTGAACATTTATTGCCATTTATATTTTCTCTCTATATATTATAATATTAAAGAAAATAACCAAAACCAGTAAAATTTAATACATTTTTTTTTTTTTCAACCTAAAAATTTCATAACAGATAGATCATGAGCCATTTATCACTTTAACGCCCTTCCACTTTTGCTCTAACTGCTGTAGTTTTTGAGATATAAGCCAAAAAACTGCTTTTTTCCTCTATGTTCTATTTTTAACCATGGCGGGCATGTTTGTTGATGAATCAAATCTTTAGATATAATTTACAAACTAGATACCCTAAAAAAACATTCAGTTAAAGTGTGGAAGTATTTGGCCCAGTAGTTTTAGAGAAGAAGATTTTTGAAAAAGTAATAGATTTGCACAAAAAAAATTGTAAGAAATAAACATTCAAGGACAATAACTCCTAAAGGAGTCAATTGACTATTTTCATCATTTAACTTATTTGTAGATCCTACTTAGCTGAACATTTTTGACATTTACACTTTCTCTCTATCTATTATAATATTAAAGATGATAACCAAAAACAGTAACATTTCATGAAAATAAACTATTTTGGACAGTAACCCTACAATAGGTTGTCCAATTGGTCTGAAAGTTTCAAAGCAGATAAATTTTGACTTATTAATCACTTTAACTACATGTCACTTGTGTTCTTACTGCTATGGTTTTTGAGATAAAAGCCAAACACTGCATTTGACCTCTATGTTCTATTTTTAGCCATGGCGGCCATGTTTAGAACATTCAGTTAAAGTTAAAAAGTCTTAGGCCCGGTAGTTTCAGAGGAGAAGATTTTTAAATGTTAGCAAACATGATGAACAAATTGTGTAAAATTGTCTTTGAAGGGCAATAACTCCTTAAGGGATTAAATGATAATTTTGGTCATATTAACTTTTTTGTAGATCTTACTTTGCTGAACATTTTTGCTGTTACAGTTTATCTTTATCTTCAATAATATTCAAGATAATAACCAAAAACTGTAAAATTTCCTTTTAATTACCAATTTAGTGGCAGCAACCCTACAATGGGAATGGAAAATTTAAGGGCTGATGACCTTGACTTGTTGAACATTTTAGATCATGTCACATTTGCTCTAAATGCTTTAGTTTTTGAGATATAAGCCAAAAACTGCATTTGACCCCTATTTTTTATTTTTAGCCATGTCGGCCATGTTTGTTGATGGATCAAAACTTCGGATACAAATAGATACCCTAAGGAACATTCAATTAAAGTTTGAAGGTATTTGGCCCAGTAGTTTCAGAGAAGAAGATTCTTGAAATAGTTTACGACGACGACCGACGCCAAGTGATGGCATAAGCTCATATGGGGCTCTTTTGGTCTAGTGAGCTAAAAAAGGAAGCTTTGGTTAATACTTAAAACTTGAATCAAAACATTGAGTACTATTTGATGCTCTCAATAGCATATCCTATTTCGTATGCAAAAACTTTTGCGTCTTATTTAATAAGACACATGAGGTCGTATGCTTATAAGAATGAATTTCAAAAATCATCTGTGATTAAACAATATTTACAAACGGCTTGTGAAAACATGGCCCGCATTTTAAATGTATTTTTGCTTTTTGAAAATAACCTTTCGAATACAGGGCTTTAGACGATTAGCCATTGACTACTAGGTTATTGCGTAACACCACATTTAATCATTCTCCACTTAGACTAAAGAGTTAAGACACTGACCATAGGAAATCAGTTTGTAGTATTAGGGAAAACAACTGTTTAAAGTGCAGTCTGTTTCAAGTGTTTCAAGGAACAAGCAGCGCAGATTGGTGGAACATTCATAAATGTTTGTTGAATGTGGGGCATAAATAAAAACTCAATCAGTTGTTTTGTCTTTTCAAGCAATGCAAATTTTATTTTTAAAAAAATATCAATATCTTTTAAAAATATGTGATAGATTATTTTATCGAAAAATGTGCAGTTCTTTTGTTGTTGTTTTTTATGTTTTTTTTTATAGGGAGAGTATTTCGGGGGAGTATTGATTTCGGTTGATGTCTTAAATTCACACAACCTTTTATTTATATTCATGTACAGATGTGTCAAAAAACACTTCGTTTGCGTGATTGAACATTGGCGACATACTTACATGTTTGGCAAATACTTCCAGTGTATCCTCCTGGACAGGAGCAGGTTCCACCGGAACAGGTACCAACACCACAGTTTATATTGTAACATGGATCATCTGTATAAAATACATCATTGATAAAGTTTTTTGGCTACGCTTTATGTCCTTTTGGTTGATTAGCTCTTCAATGTTTGTACTAGGTTTTGTATTTTCAAATATTTTGGCCTCGAACACCACCAAAGAAATATTAATTGTCGAAATGGACATCTGGTGTAGTACAATTGGTACCGTTTATATTATTATATGTTTCCTTATATTGACTGAGTGTAATATCATGTGTTGGCTAAGTGACATCAATATAAACATGATAAAACATTCGATTTATCAAATGAATATTCAAATCTATTGAATAAGCATGACCTATATGACCGAAAGGATGACTGTGGTTTTTGAAATGTTTTCATTCGGATCTTTCCCATCCTACAGTAAAGAAAACAACCATTCATTTTGGCTATGTCAGATATATATATATATATGCCGCCATCCGCGATCAAAAAGAGATCAAAAAGAAGATATTAAATCCGACGTGCCCTACTGTCTTCACTTTGAGGAAACTTTGCAACAACTACATGACGAGTCCAAATTTTGTCTATTGCATGGTAAAATTTCAGAAAACAAAGAAAAATATTATAACCAAAACAATTTTGTGGCTAACTTTTCATAAGTAACACTAAAAACCGAAATTTTAAGGAAATGTATACAAGAATCGATACTTACAAGTTTGGCAACTACTACCAGAGTAACCACCTGGACAGGAACATGTTCCACCGGAGCAGGTACCAACACCACAGCTCACTCCGTAACATGGATCATCTGTGCAATAAATTTGACTTTGCGACACAGTGTGTATGAATAATATTATTGTACAGCATGTAGCTATGTAATATTCCCACAAAGCGTAATGATAAAAAAGCATGCAATATTCTATAATATAGAGCTTTATCAAAAACACAAATATTAATAAACAGTTTTCAAACTGTGCTGCACAATAAAAGGGTTAATGCATGCATATTTGTGAATGCTGACTATCGTAGAATATATACTGCACTTGCAAGCTCATGCAATATAAAAAATATTTTCAATAATCATGCACTAACCCTACAATATAGTGCACCTACTTTTATTAGGTAAAAATATCAGAATAATACATTTGTTTACATTATAATAACATAACCTTGATATCAAAAAAGGAGAAGACTCCAATTTCAATTTGAAACGTATATACAAGACATTTATTTTGATATTAACCAGACTATCGATGCTAAATTGTTGACATTCTAATTCACATTCAAAACATTAAGTTCTTAATACTTTAACTCACTCAACAATTTACCCCTATTAATATTAATTTATGATTTTTATTAAGACTTTTCAAAATGCATTTACAAGCCTTCAGGGTTAGGATCTAGATCTGTATCCATTTATGTTTAATATGACAAATTCGTGACTCTGAGCATATCAAGGGGTTTTCAGAATATTGGCGAGTACATGTATAACTAAAGTTTTGCAGTGTTCATCTTTTATCTTAAATTTTTTCACATTTAGTTTGCAGAAAGGAAAAGGAGAAAAAATAGGCACAGTTATCGTATTTTTTACATTTATGACTAGCTTACAAGTTTGGCAGTTACTTCCAGAGTATCCTCCTGGGCAGGAACAGGTTCCACTGGAACAGGTACCAACCCCACAGTTTATATTGTAACATGGATCATCTGTATAAAATACATCATTATCACATATACTATATTTGTTTTAATGTGCTTAACATTGTGGGAACAAATAATCGTAAGTTTGCTTCCAGCAATTCGAAACTTGAAGGCGTCAGCAAAGGTTTTTATAGAAATGGAATTTATTTGCAAAACGTCATGTTTAAATGAAGACTTGTATATGTTTGATAATATTGCCTGAGTGTAAATATATTTGTTGGCCGAGGGACATTGGATTTCTCTAATAAATATAGAAATTTATAGAATAAGCATGACCTATACCACCTACAGGGTTGACCGGGGTATTAAATATATAGTCATTTCGACTTCTCCCATCATATAGTAAACACCCATTCCGTTTGGCTGTGTCGGATATATAAAAAAGTTGCCACGCGTGATCCAGAAGTACATGTGTAGATATAAAATCCTATTTGCCATGATGTGTGCACATTAAGCCAGATTTAAAACTGAGTGACAAGTGCGTTTTTTTTTCCTATTGCAAGGCAATTTTCAAAAAACAAAAGAAAAATTATAAATTTAGAGTATACAAACACATTTCTTAATTATTTTCAATCCGTAACGCTCAAAACCTAAACAATGAAACCGCAAAACGTTTCAATATTTTAAAAGATATTGAACCAAAAAAGAATTTAATGTGGTATAGGGGTCTTTGCCATCTTGGATAGTAAAATAGCATAACGCAATACGTCTAGATTTTCAATCAAGTCAGCATATTCGAATGCAGGAATGCAATTTACTAATAAAAATCCTCATTAAAAAAAAACAGATTTTCACATATTTTAAGATAAAATATTTTTGCTTGTTTTATAAATTTGTTGATCAAAGCGTATTTAGTGGGGGTTAAGAAATTGTTTAATTTACAAAGGAATCTACAGGATTATTTCCTTTGATATATTATAGCAGGAAAAACAGTCCGATGATTCCATTTCTCTTTTTTGGATTTTTAAAAGCATTTATTAGATTTTGTTTTCTCCTATATTATTCAAAAATTCTATCCTTTAGTTTAAATTCTATTCACGTGATGATGCCTTTCCTCTGTGTAATCCATGTGAAATGTCGGTGGCCTATCATTTTTATTAAACATATCACAATATATACTACAGTTTATCAAATGTATTGGAAATTTTTTATCCTTTTACGTTTTTACTCGAATAACCAGGTCAACTTTTGCGAAGAGAGTTGGAACCTTATTTGTTTTCTATTTTGCTAATTTCTTAATTTATAACTGGAAATTAATAAAAAAAAAATATAGCTTGTAACTCATGTCAGTGCAAAACACTGACTTCTAGGCCTGAGATACCGTCGGGACTAACAATTCCCGAGCGGGAGTACAGACCCAGTGCTATAAAAATGAGATAACACTTAATTGATTTGTTTCGATTAAACATTGATACTCTTTTCAGTGGTAGTCTAACTTGAATGCCCTTCACACCTGTCGACGCCATTACAAAACCCACCTAATGAATCTATTACTAGTATCAATTTGTTTTCGTCCTGAAAAACATGAAATATTCGCAATTTGGCGTTACAAAACAACAATCAATCAATCGTGTCATAAACTACAATTTTTATATTTCTACTCCAAATCTATTTTTAAATATTTGAAAAAAGGGTCAAATCGTGCAAATAAGATTAAACTTCTATTTTACTCCAGCGGTTCCAGTTGTAACAAATGTATACAAATATCGATACTTACAAGTTTGGCAACTACTACCAGAGTAACCACCTGGACAGGAACATATTCCACTTGAGCAGGTACCAACACCACAGCTTACACCATAACATGGATCATCTGTGCAATAAATTAGACTTTGCAACTCAATGTGTATAGATATTAATATTGTATACATGTAAGTGTTTCTCGTTTCTCGTTTTTTATATAGATTAGACCGTTGGTTTTCCTGTTTGAATTGTTTTACACTAGTCTTTTTGAGGCCCTTTATCATGTTTACAGCTTGTTGTTCGGTGTGAGTCAAGGCTCCGTGTTGAAGGTCGTACTTTGACCTTTAATTGTTTACTTTTTACACATTGTGACTTGGACATGTTGGATGGATAGTTGTCTCATTTGCATTCATACCTCATCTTATTTATAAGCAATGTAACATTTCCACAGAACGCACTGGAAAGTCAGCGTGCAATATTCTATAATATTACTTCTCACTTAATTTGGTAAAAATATCAGAATTTCGCAGTGTTTACATTCTAATAACGTATTTGTAGATAAGTAAAGTAAGGAGAAGTAGTTTCCACTTTGAAAATTATTACTATACATGTATCTTAACAATAACCGGTGGTGCTAAATTTTTGACATCATTTTTTTAATGTGGGTTGTATGTACATATAGTAGACATTTTATCCATAATACTTTAACTCACTCTACAAAATACTCCTAGTTATATTAATTCAAAATTTTAATAAAATTTGTAAAATGCATATACAGGCATTCAGGGTTAGAATCTAGATCTGTATGAATGTATGTTTAGTATACAAAGTTTTTCAATCTCCCACTTATAAAGGTTTTTTTTTAAATATTTTTCGATTATAACTATAATTAAAAGCTTGCAACGCTCGTTTCACTCTATAGCTTAACAAGTGTTTCACTGTAGTCAGGTATACGTTTGACGTACAATGTATCCTGTATCATGTCATAAAACCCGTATCATAAATGTGTACAATAAGAGATAACACACAATAACATACGTACAGTTTTCACAGCTAACTCCATAATATCCACTAGGACACGAGCAGATTCCATTAGAGCAAGTACCAACACCACAAAAAACTGCATAACAAGGATTAGCTGAATATAAAAAAAAATGAACAATTAAAATGAGCAACATAACTAAAGTTTTGTGCAAAAGATAACAAATAACCTTTTTTCTCGATTACTGGATGCCATCACCTCTGAACATCCTTAATCGTTTGAATATAAGAAACTTGTTGATGGGATCTATAAATCATATTTATACCAAATTCCTATAAACTTTTATTTTATGAATGGTAATGAGTAAAGATGGTAATTATGTACATCCTCATTAAAAGACCCCTACAATGTACTGCAATTGCCTAAAATCTGTGATGTCGACATCCAGTGACACACACGATCACGTTTAAATACCAGTAATCAGTTTCAAAAAAAATGATACGACTAAAGTTGATCGTAAGTATACTGAATTGTTCATAACTTTCGATCAATTTTAGTCGTAAGTTTTTTTGTGAACCAAACTGATTACTGGTGTCTACATGAACGCTGTTATGAATCCTTTTCTATATACATGTACGGCATTCCATGGCCTATAGTGACAATTATTGTAAGAGGTACCAAGTAATTAAGTGATGTTGTCCAAATAAAAAGAGCATAACTTAAAATGACTTCAGAAAACTACTTTTGCGAAATTTCAACACTGTTCCTTCGGTTTTTTCATGCTAGTGAAATAAGTAACGAAGCATTATTGCATTAATGCTCAAACAGATTTAAAATGAAACAAAGGGGCATAGATTTAAGTTTCATATTGTTACATTAAAAGTCTTCCTGACAAATAGGATACAGAAAAAAAGGCCACTGATTTGGGTTTCATGACGTCAGAAGGCACATATTTGAGAAAAGGACACGGATCTGATGCCGGTAATAGATTTGTCGTATTATTAATTTAATGTAAAATGCAATACAAATCATAAAATATATTTTATACCGAAGTGTTAAACGTATGCTCTATGTAAGAAAGTAAATAAATTTTATTTAGAATCGGTACACATGTACAATTTAAACCTTATTTTCGACTGCTGAGTTTGAATTCTTTGATACATTTGTAACATATAATATAGGACTTAACTGTAACCAACTCGGCCGTGGTAAAGTTATTTTAATTGTGCTGTTCAATGTATTGTTGTTTTTATAATTTTGTTCCATTTTATAATCACATGTAATATGTTTATTTTGTAAATGATAATAGTTCAATGTTTGGACTTTATATCAAAAGAAATTACTTACTTACTTACTTACATTGAAATAGATAGAGAATATGGATTAGTGGCACCTTTAAATTTTCATATATAAGCACATTAATAACGATTTAGAACAATACGATAAGTCTACCTAAAATTTCATAATTCAAAACAAGCAGAAAACAAAAATATAGGCAAGTGACAAGACATCAACTGTCAAGATGAAGAACAGGAACAAAAGCCCTGTTCATTGACAATTTTCTATGTTTTCTATGTATTGTGTTCGATTTTGTCCCATGTACATTTACTCCATATCCTTTCATTTTCTATGTAGCTACATTAATAAGCATGCGTCGAAAAGCAGATACAGGCAATATTATATTAAATATTGTAGAAAGCAGGCATATAATTCAGCCATGAGACAGCAGAGTTTGATAGTTGCGTGCTCTAATTAAACAAGGCTATATTTCTGACCAAATGAAGCAGCATATTCCAAATTCGTGCTGTCTCTGTGAAGCTATTCAAGTATCAAAATCTAGTTAAATCAGACTGTACAAAATCATTTTATCCATTTTGTCATTTAAATAATGACAATGTGAACCCTCTGAAATATGTTATTCTACACTTTAATATATTTAATATACATGTAGTTGAATATATTAAGTTGCCTGTGATTTTTGATTTGCAATATTATCATGATTATAAATGTCAATATTTAGTACGCGAGAAATATTTTTCAAAATAAATAAAAATATTTCATGGAAATTTTTTTTTAAAAGTATATTATAAAAAGATCATTACATGATTACATGATATTCATTTTTTTTTCATGTCAGATTTATTTACTATAATGCCGATATTATCACTTGAATCGTTGGTCTTTTGGCTGATATTACGACAAAGGGCTGATAATCTATATGATATGAGAACTGTGTTCTAAATATCTAAGTAATGTGTTTTGTAAAAAAAATATAGCGTAAGGTAATTAGTTATTGTAAATTGTTAATAAGTAAATTTATTTAATTCTTATAGTATAAATATATTTATGAATGTACACATAATTTTTTACTTGGAAGTAATCGCGTACTCATTGACATCCATACTTGTAAGCAAAATTTAACAAGTTATTCAAAATGATTGCTTTGTTAGTCCTTGGTTTTTTGGTAAACATCCTCCTCCCTCAGAATCAATCAATCTACATTCATCATTTGAAGTTCATAGCTAGTGTTGGAGGTAAAATTGCCATTTGCAATCAAAGTTAATTTTATCGATTATTTCATCATGTTTATATAAAATGAAACAAGAGAATGTTTAAACGTAACACGGAAAAGATACCAACTTTTCGACCTTAACATTAGGGTCTTTATATTATACACGCTATCCATGTGTATATAAAATGTATGGACTATTTGCATTATGTGATAATAAGGTCTTAAATAATACAAAATGTCTTATAATAGCAATATTCTCGAGAAAATTAGAAAAAAAAGTTTATACACAATTATCTGTTTTGTTTTGATAAATCGTGTTTTCATAGTTAACTCAATATATATGTATTTGTATATCATATTATCTGTCATTTCCATTTAAATATATATTGAATTCATTTTGTTACACCTTGTGTATCGGAGAGTCATAATAAAGAGTTTAAACTTGAACTTGAATTAAATTGATCACAGCATAAAACCCTCTATCACTAAACCAATTCGTTTTTCTATTTATGTGCTTGCATTCTGAAAACAATGGTAAGATAAAGAAAGCATATATTAACGATACAAAGAATCAACCTTAGCAGACATTGTGGATTTATTATTATTCGTTGGATACCAATTTTCGTGGATTTCATGGGTACAGGGAAACCACGAATTTAAATGTTCAATGAATTACAAATGTTCCATAGAAATATATGTTGCCTAAAACAAAACCACGAATTCAAATATCCACGAAAATGGAAGTTTTCCTCAATCCACGAAAATTGAACCCACGAAAATAAATGAATCCACAGCATTGTACTATTTTAATGAACAAATATATTTAGTAACCATCGTTCTTGTGTTGTCGGGTAAGCTTCTTTTATTTCAAAGTACAAACCAATCATGAATGGCACAATTCCTTTCATTTCACTCTTTAGAACTCAATATACGATTAATATTTTTTTTAAATATGTAATCGAAAAGATGAAAAGAAAACTATTCCAACTAAATGTCTTTTTATTAAAAAAAACACTCAGTTTCTATAGTGATACTATGTAAAACATTTTCAAAACAGCAAATATGTTTTTATGAAGAAAAAAAAAATATAAACAAAGTAAGCTGTCAATTCTTTATGAAATCAAGACTACTGTACGAAATTGACATATTATGTGTACATACGCCAGAGAAAAGAAACTGATAAGTCGTTATTGTTCAATGTTTTCAATAAAAATGTTCATTGGAAACGAACAAATACGACAACAGCCAGCGTTGATATATTGGTAACGCATAGTCATAGTCCTGCATGAGATTGCTGTCTCAAGATTACTTATACCCCGCTCACTTTTATGTTTACTGAGAATATGCATTTCCCCCCAATAATAGGAACAGTTATCTTATGACAAAATAACCAAAAGGCTTCTAGTAGTAAGTAAAGAGATCGTATGGTTTATCTCTAAGATAATCTTCCTTTTTTATTAGTATTTTTTAAAGTGTTGTTTGCGAGGAAGTTCATTTTGAGTAAAGATTTTTTTTATCACATGGTCACATTCCAGAGCAGATAAGTCATCTACATGATCTACCCGGACACATTATACTGATTCAGAACCGATCAATCCTTTTGCTTACTCCTAAATGAAGGCAGTAAAATGATAAGTGCAAGTAGTTAGTCTTTTTTTCGACCTTGCCGCGTATCGTACCAATAATTATTCGCTCGCTGAGGTGAGCACGCTATCATACAACCATCGGGGAAGTAAATTTTAGTAAAAGTAGTAGTGTCACATTTTATTATAAACAGAAGTATACTTGTGCTAGTTCATTTATCATTAATTTGAAGAAAAACAAGCATGTCTTTATACACAGTTTACGATGTATAATATGGAACAAGATACATCTGTCTAACCACACTTCTCCTGAATGAGACAATGCATAAGAACCTTTACCGCAATATTTGAAAATTTGTTAATAAAAATGTCATTGAACAAAAATGAGTAAAATCTTTCATAGGTAATTATGCAAAACTTTGAAATCTAAGACACTCTCGGATATGAGTGTCTATTATCTCCAACTAGGACACGCCACACTAGAGACTGGAAATCAAACACTAACTAAAGGTAACTGAGATTATCCAGTTAAGCGCTTTTTTCGGTGTTTTTTTTAATATTAGGGAACGACCATTTGATATTCTGGGGGGGGGGGGGGGGGGGGGGGGGGGGGGGGCTGGGCAGGCGGATTTTGAAAATAAATAACTCAGCCTTGATAATAACAAAAATGAATGGTTTGTTCTGTGGTAGTTTGAAAATAAATAACCTGACTTACAATGTATTGAAATTAACTTGGCAGGTCTTTTAAGCCATTTTATAAATGCTATTCTGAAGTATGAGATGGCACCAGATTCTTCCAAAATTCGTCTTTTTCATATTTTTTTCGGGAAAAACTTCCCAAATCTTTTAATAATATAAATATTAATGTATTTAATATGTTTGAAAATAGGTTTCATTTCACTTGAGGTATATTGTCTCGTGACCATTCACCTCACTTTTATTACAGGGCCGTAACTACATTGAGGCAAATGCCTCATGTTGGAAATTTCAAAACAAAAGCTTGTCATCATATCAAA